GGTGCGCGCACCACACTTTGGGAATCCCTGGATATGTCAACACTTAAGCCCTTTTCAGATAGACATTCTGGAATATGTGTGGACAATTCAATCCGGTTTTGTACCGGAACTTGTCCTTTCGGCTGCCTTCCCACAGCAGGGAAAAGTTCCAGATGTCTGGGGGGGGGGTCGGACTTATGTTAAGCATAATTCTGCGCACACGAAGACGCATAAGAGACCTGGATGATGAAACACAATGGTTAAAGGAATCACTGAAGCGGTGTGAAGCGCTCCGTCGCGCGTCTAGGAGACGGTACCGTAGGAGGCGAGCTGCCATGGGTCGCCGCATGCTACAGGAGCGAGCTATCTAGGTGCGCACAGCGTCCCCCGGTCCCCTCCTCCCTGTCTGGAACTCAACCTCACCAGTCTGAAGCAGCCACCCTGTCCGTAACAAGTCTGGGCCTGTTACTAGGGGCGTCGTCCGGTTAAATTATGGAAAAGGTTATCCGGATGTTTGTGTTCAGACACAAAGGTCTTACGGACAGAGTCCCGAACATTTCCATTTTTCATGGCCTGTCTGAAGGGGGCTCTAGGCACATTTATGTGGATGTTTACTTCCTTTTGGATTTAATGTTGGAGCACTGTAGCCTAGTGAACTAGACCAAATTCTTGCTTTGCAAAGTTTAAATAATACATTTATTTAGTCTGGCTTGCCAGGCTAGGAGCACTGATGACTGGGGCTGATTGTTTGCTGGTGTGATTTTCTGAGGTATTTAAAGGAAGCCAGGTAGAGGCTTGGGGAGGTTTTTTTATTTTTGATCTGTAAAAGGAAAGCAATGAAATAAACGCCTGAGAAGCATTTTGGCTCCCAAAGAAAAATGTCCCTGTGCTGCAGTTTGCCTCTAGTTCATTCACCTTGAAGACCTTCTGGCTGCTCTACATTCTCACACACCAGCTTTTGGACCATCTCCTGCCCAACTCATTTTCTCCTGTTTAGTTTCCGGGTGCCTGTACTTGACATCCGTCGTCGCCGATTAGCTCCAGTTCCCTGCTTTCCATGCAACCAATTCAGTGGCGGTTTTACCATAAGGCATAGGTCGGCTGTCACCTGGGGCCCCCTTTTGTTGGGGGGCCCCCTAGCCCTGACTGGTGGCACCCCTCTGTTAATGCCACAATGGACTATTCCTTTAATACGCCGACGCACAAACAGGAAGTGATTGGTAGTTATTCCACTCCAATCCAGTTGGTGGCAGTAATGCACCAAATTGTTGTTTGCCAAGTGCCATAAGACCACAAATAAGAAGAGAAAGCAGAAAAAGAAGAAGAGAGGCAGGAGCGTTCGTAACAAACTCGAAGAGGTAGTTAAAACATGAAGGAGTTATCCTAGTGGCTCCAATAATCCTAGTGGCTCCAATAACAGAAAGAAGCAGCTTGCTTTAAAAAGCTATCTTCACTTCCAAAAGTGACGTCGTTTTCCTATGTAAACATCAAAAGGAAGCAGAAAGGAAAGACAATGGAAAATGTTTAAAGGGAGGAAAACATAGACCAAAATTGAAAATAGAAGAAAAAAACAAAGGCACAGGAGCACTGACAGGAAGAAGAAAGCACTCAAAGAGAGAGAAAGACAGGAAAAAAGAGGAGCACTAATAAAAAGTGAAAATAACTCGTATCAGAAGAGGGGAGAGTTTCACAAATCCTGTTAAAGATAAGACTGTCGAAAATTTAGAGTAAGGGGCCCCATGTCTGTGTTTGCCTTGGGCCCCCAAATTGCTAAATCCGCCACTGAACCAATGAACAAATTTTTATATACCTGTTCTGATTTCCTGTGTATTCTCTGCATGTGGGTCTAACATGTGCCCGAACCATGCCACTATTTAGGTACAATGGAGGGAAATAAGAGAAGATAATATATATATTTTTTCTTTCTAAACATTTTATAAAATGTTTTATGTAACTCCTGTGGAGTTTTGCTGGACCAGTCCTGTGTTCAGTTAATAAAAATCCAAACATGAAAACATATTAAATCACTTTTTGAATGTCCTGTGGGACTTTTTACTATCAAACTAAAATAGTGTCACCATCTTAAGGTGAATGCACATAAACTGAGGTTTTAATTTTGTCCTCTGTATAAATTAAACTTACTGTAACATAAAGTGTTTTTGAAAGTCTAACACAGCCAGCACGCAGCTTGGTGTTAAGTTTGGAATAATGAAACAGTAAAAGTTGGGTAAACACACCACTCCCATCCAGTTACACCCACATGACAACATGAATGCATGAATAACTCCGCTTTGACTTCATACAACCTCCTCTTCTCTTTATCTCAGCAAAAAGGAGTTTAAGATTATGCCAGATTAAGCTAGTTTCAACTCTAGATTTACTCTGAATGAACAAATTGCCTTTATTTTTACTTTATTGTAAATGACCTTAAACCTGCTGAATTTAATATGTTAACTTTTGTGAACAGATAGCAGCTGACCAAATGCTGCTTACAGTCTTTATTATTACTTTTAGTTTCAATAATTACATTTAATTTAAATATATCATTTTTATTTGAGAAAGTAAGTTAAAATATAATTAACCTTTTTATAAATCCATTTCAATTAACCTGTGTTGTTATTAGTTTGTGAATGTTGAGCATTTTTAAGGAAATAAATGCAGAAGTATTACAAAAAATATACACAATTCATACTTACATATTACTGCAAATATATTCTGCTCATAAGAAACTTACACACACACACCCTCTCCAAGCCAAGCTAGAACCTGCAGGCTGAGGGAGCACCAGGATGTCAGAAAGCTAAACTCCTCCCAGCTCTCCATCTTCCTTCTCTGACCTTTGACCCACGAACCCTGGATACCTACTAGAAATTTGAAATGGAAGAGAATGCGACTTTTACGGTTCATTCTGTTTACATTCATTTAATAAAATAACAGCAAGAGCCTCAACAAGCTAGCTTGGTCTGGGCTGCCCCTGGATTTAGACGTGAAAGGAGGACGCTGGTGAAGCTGACCATTTTGGAAAACTCTTCCCACCCACTGTGGAGGCCATGGACAGCTCCTTTAGACACCAAGATGTAAAACAAAATGCTTCCCTAGGTCATTCATTCCCTGTGCAGGAAGAGTGTATAACTCCACAGTTTAACTGGTACTGGCATTATCCTGGTACACAATAACATTAACTAAATATTCAGTATGTGTTCAACGCTTGGCCAATACAGATGTTCATTATGTTCGTGTTCCTCATGCTGCATAGTTCTGGAAACCCAATTTTCTATTTTATTGGTTGAAGGTTACAATATTAGATAATTGTGTGTTTAGCTGTAACCTTATTTTTCTTTTTGTCTAAGTGTATGCGCTGCTGGAACGAGTGACTTTCACCACTGTGAGACTAAGAAAGTAGATTTTAATCCAAGTTGACACTATACAACTCCTGTTTTCGTTGGTATTTTAGCTTAATTTGAACTTTATTTTATGCATATTGCTGCTTATAACAGGGATATGAAAAAACCACCTCTCAGACTCAATAGGCATGTTTCCATTCCCAGAACTCCCGGGTAGTTCCTGGGATGGGGAACTTGACCAGGAGATAGGATGTCCCAGTTCTCAGCTGTTGTGTCTCCATTCAAATTCAGCCCTTTCCAAACTTGCAGACGTCAGCATATCACGATTGCTTTGACAGTGAGTGATGTCACTGATCAGCCCCAAAAAGCACCTAAAGTAACATTAATATTAAAAGCATTTATTTTATAGAAGTGTATCATGATTTAATCCATTCAGAAACAAGAGCAGCTCTGAGTTTTGTGAGACAAGTCCATTAATTAAATATGTGGGTGAATTTCCTCAACAGCTGTGGGGGGGGGGGGGGGGGGGGGTTCCACCGGGAGTTAGACTTTAAATAGCAAGTCACCTCTAATCAACATTTTTTTGCTGATAAATTAAATGAGTGCCCAATCGTGCCTACGTAGACACATGTAGTCAATAATTTGGCACTTTAGCACATCCTAGTTAAAATGTAAATATTCTACCTAAAACTTTCAACTGTTGTGCCCTCTTCAGGTAAAAACTCTGCACTGCAATTGAATTTAAATCTGCCAGCGCTATTGGCTAAGAGGTACACTATGACCTTAGCTGGTATATTATGATGCCACAATGTGGTTGAGAGCCTGTGTGTATTTGTTGGCAGCTCCGTCCTCTCGGTCTGCCAGGCAACAGCATTTGCTGCATTTTCCAAACAGGAAGTCGGAGTGGAATGAGACTTTTGAAGGGGTGACTTGCTCTTTATATGCGATTGGTGCCTTTTTTTTTTTGCTTCCATTCTGCTTCACCTTCTAATTTTACTGCTGCCGGTTGTTTTGGACGTCTGCTGATGTCATTTCCTATTGAGTTACAACCAATCAGCGTGAGTTAACCGGAGGTTCCGCTCAGCTACTCCACCGGGCCGTTCGGAGTACCTACTCCTGAGCAGGTAAATGGCCTGTATTTGATATAGCGCCTTCTAGAGTCCTGGAACCCCCCAAGGCGCTTTACAACACAATCAGTCATCCACCCATTCACACACACATTCACACACTGGTGGGGATGAGCTACAATGTAGCCACAGCTGCCCTAGGGCGCACTGACAGAGGCGAGGCTGCCGAGCACAGGCGCCACCGGTCCCTCCGACCACCACCAGCAGGCAACGTGGGTTAAGTGTCTTGCCCAAGGACACAACGACAGCGACAGACTGAGCGGGGCTCGAACCTGCAACCTTCCGACTGTGAGGCGAGCGCTTAACTCCTGTGGCACCATCGCCCCAGAAGGGTCCTGAAAACGGCCCGGTCAGGTGGAGACACACGCATGTCGGGAGGTTCCTGTATACCAACCCTGAAGTTCTTGTAGTGGAAACACGCCTTACGTCTTGAACTTCCTGTCATTTTAAAAAGCAGAATTGATTAAAATAAATGCAACACATGATGGTTAAAGTGCTTTCATTAAACTCAAAAGGGGGAAAAAAAAAGAAAAACTGGACAAGCCAAGTGTCAGGTAGTAATTAGTATTTATAGTTTTTGTATTCTGATTCAAAGCTTTATTGAACACCTGAAGAAAAGACTACTCAGGCAAATCACATCAGAATAAGAACCATCTGGAGCCCAAAAGGGACCTGTTTACACAGATCACACACACACACACACACACACACACACACACACACACACACACACACGATCATTAAAGTATATTAAACCATGTAATACAATCATGTAGGTTTTTAACAGAAAGATTTATGCATTTTTTATGTTGAAACACCAAATAATCCATTTTATAATGAAGTATGAAAGATGCTGTAAAGCTAAAATGAGAAGTCAATACTGTAGAAGTGCATCTGAAAAGTGATCAAACTCGGAGTGAAGTTTATTGTGCAAACACCACCAGTCCCACGAAGCTCACTGACACTTCGTCTCCAGAAGCTGGATATCATTTAGCCACACGCGGCTCCACACAGCGAACGTGCAGGTGTAATGCTGGAAAAGAAAGCTCAGAATGCATTTAATGTGACAATCAATTGTACATACTGACATGACGCGTTTAATGAAGTAACTACCTTGGAGTCTGTCTGGATGGGACACAGATCGTTTACGCTGCTCTTTCTGCAGGAGGTTCTTGCCATCTTCACAGTTATGATGTACTTCACTCCTGCAACCACCTTCAGAGAAGAGCAGGTGAGATGATCAAATAGAGATTATGTTCAGGAGCCGTCAGCAGCACGTTACTGCAGCAGCACGTCATAGCTGCTGATAGGAACCGCTGTGGTCAACAGAACCTTTCCACGGGAGCCGTCAGCAGCACGTTACTGCAGCAGCACGTCATAGCTGCTGATAGGAACCGCTGTGGTCAACAGAACCTTTCCACCGGAGCCGTCAGCAGCGCGAGTCGGCCGCGTCTCAGGAGCAGCATGTCGCGGCCTTTACGCGCCGGTTCTATTTTCTACGCGCGACGCCTCTGAAACGGGTCAAGTTCGACATTTTTGGGGAAGGAAAGACAGGAAATCGGACGCGGAAACGGAGAGAAGCTCCCGAGATTTTCAGAATAAAGAACGTACTGCCTTCCGGTTGCTTTACTTTAAAAAAAGTTAGTAACTGTGCGTCCCCGTGAGAAGTTATCACCTAGCTAGCGGTCTCCTTTGTTTTTCAGGTCCGTATTGGTGATTATAAAACGGACAGAACATAAAACACAAACCATGTTGTAGTTTTCTCCTGCTTGTTGTTGTGTTTACTGACCAAGTCACTCGTGTGACTTCGTGCTCTGTCAGTGACAGCTGCTCCCCTGCTGCTTCACGTCTCGTGGGAGGGGCCAAGCAGCAGTTTACGCGAGCAAGACGTGCTGCTGCAGTAACGTGCTGCTGACGGCTCCGGTGGAAAGCCGGGGTTAATCTAACAGCTTAAATGTCTCCCCAGCCTTGCTGAGTGATTAATCTCTAAATAAACAAATCAGCTGTGCTCATGATCAAAAACATGCAGGAAATGTGCTGGAACCAGACTGCAGTGCCGGGTATGTCACCTCCACTTTTTCTAAGTCCCAACAGAGCAGCCCTCCAGTCTGCAGTTGCAAGGGGAATATTCTGGCCACAGGGGGTGTGTGGCCTTTCATTAAGCCTGTAAAGTGTCATTGTAGAAAATTAATTAAAAAAATGAAAAATTAGCTAGGTATCCCTTTAAGGCAGAAACATGCAGTTTTTGAAGTGGTCATGTTTTACAATGCTGAAGAAGATCAGGGCTTTTTTCTTCACACTTATTATAAACTCATAGGAGACATGGGAATGTCTGGAAAGAAAAAGCAATTACCGGAAGAAAAAAAACATTGAAAGGGTTTATTTTGAAAAAATATGTCTCGTCAAGATCAAGACGCTCAGAAAATTAATAAAAACTAAACTTAAGATTTTGTCCCAGCAACTTTTAAAGCAGGATTCTGAACATCTTGCCTGTATAGCTTCATGATGATCTCAATTCATCACGACAGAGATCCGCCGGGACCGATGAGCCCCTAGGAAATCTGAATATGGCAGGTATGATCAGGGCCAGATTAACACTTCGTTGTACCCTGGGAAACAATATTCAAGGGCCCCATCATCACGACCCAAAGATCACCATAATATGGTCACATACAGAATATTTTACTGTAATATGCAGTAAATATACTCAATACTTGAATGCCTGACATCACGTAACCTGCTCAGGGTGACCCACCTCATGTGGACTGACCAATGCGGAGAGGGTCTTAACTTGAGGCCCTCTCTTCATTGGTCAGTCTGCATGAGACTGACTCTCAACTGACGTTCAGTCATAGGCAGCGAAGCGTCTCTGTGCAGCGCAAAAGCCCGGGTGGACAGTTTGTTTTATTTTGCCTTGGCCCCCAAAATGTCTTGAAACGGCCCTGGGTGTGTGACAGAGTGTTGAAGGTGATCTGAATTGTATCAGATGTATAAATATGACATGTGTGTAACTTATTGTTTTATACAGGTAGAAACGTGTAGTGGAGATAAATCTACCTACATTTTACTTTGTTTTCTTGTTTTTATTGAACTATTTCCTGTCCTGTCTGTCTCTCATCTTCCTGCATCTCCTCTAAACTCTCCAGAAAATCTGCTGCCTGGATTCTTACTTTTTCACCTCATCAGTTACTTCTGAGCAGACCAAAGATCTCCTGACTGCAGAGCGGAGAGCGCGTTTCGATGCTGCGTCAGTGAGGTGACATCACCGCAGCACAGGTGATGAGCTCCGCAGTAGCAGAGCGCTTCAGGCACATATAAGACAGAAAATAGAGAACATGTGCGGACATGAACCATCGTGTGTTAATTATAGTTTTTTGGTTGCGCCACTTTGAGAATGGACCGTGAGCTGGACGCAGCAGCCTGGAGCATCGCTGTGCTGCTCTCTGTGCTCTCTGCTCAGAAGAGTCCATAAATGATGTAATATAGGTGGAAAACTTTTCTCCGGCTCCCCTGGATGTGTAGGATATCCAGCTCCCCCATAATTCGATCGCTGCTCCTGGATGAAAAGCCGGACATTTACAATACAAGAACCCCCAGTCCGGACGCCCCGGGCAGAGTGAAAAGTGGACATGTCCGGGTAAAAGAAGACGTACGGTCACCATAGTCCTCATAAAGCGGGAAATTACAGATACTGTATTTTGCTCGTGCCCTTGGCCCTTTAGGGTTCGTGGGCCCTGGGCAATTGCCCAGTTGCCCATATGGTTAATGGAGGTTTCTTCCTGTTAAAAGGGAGTTTTCCTCTCCACTGTCGCTGCATGCTTGCTTAGTATGAGGATTGCTGTATAGTGACTTGATGCAATGTGCTGGGTTCCTTATATAGGAAACATTATTTCTGATTGGCTTAATGAACTGTCCTGTATTGGAATGTTTATTATGTGAAGTGCCTTGAGACGACTCTTGTCATGATTTGGCGCTATATAAATAAACTTGAATTGAATTAATCCGGCCTTGGGTATGGTACTGGATCTGATGAAGGTACTAATCCTCCATCAGGCCACATTAAAACCAGAAGTGGATTAATGCCAACTTCTGACCCTGTTTACAAGGGATTGAAGGCAGTTGGAGACAATTTTATTTAGAACAGCTTTTAGAGAAGACTCCATAAGTGACACTTTTTATTGTATTAAAGAGCAAGCCACCCCCTAGCAGAATGCAACAAATGCTGTTGCCTAGCAGACCGAGAGGGCGGAGCTGCTAACAAATACAATCACACACAGGCTCAACACAACATTGTGACATCATATGGTACCAGCTAACACCCTAGGGTACCTCTTAGCCAATAGCAATGGCAGATTTAAATTCAAATGCAGTGCAGAGTTTGTACCTGACAACAGCACAACACTGACAGTTTCACGCCGGGGACACACCGGCCGCGGAAGCGCCGAGAAGCGAATCGCTCACGAAATTCGGCCGCTGCTCGCCGCTCCTCAGTTCAGATCAGACGCGCCCTAGTCGAGGCGCGCCTCGGCTCAGCTGTAGTTTTTCTTTTAAACACTTGGTGTCCTCCATTTCCTCTCTGCCTTTTCTCAGCTCTTTTCCTCTACGTTTGAGTGTGTGTGTGTGTGTGTGTGTGTGTGTGTGTGAACCTATGGTATGAGTTCTTTCTGCCAGTTGAATCTCTTGGAACCCGCTCCAAGTCTGCAGCTGTATCCTAGCAGTTTCTTCAGAAATGAGCACATAAATAATCATGTTTTTCGGGGGTCGTACAGCTTCTTGTGTTTCTCAACTTCCATAATTAATTTAAAGTCATCCATCTTAACTGCTTGCCTCAGACTTTCTGCCTCTCTGTCCTGTTTGCTCCGGTGAAAAGACACCCAAAACCACTCCCCCCTTCACGTGGTCACACACGCACACAAGTTCGATGTGTGTGTATGTTCGTGTGGTTTTTCTGCAGTGTCTGATTGCGAACACATTTGACTATTGAGGAATTTTATTTTGAAATGCTTTATTTTGTTAACTTTACCGGCCTGCCTCTTATGTCCAGGTTTGACTTCCTGCCAGAATTGACGCGATTCACCCGCGGCTCGCGAAAAAAATAGAGCCGATGCCGAAATGATCGCTGCACGGCGCGGGCTGGAGCGCCGGCACGAGGCGATTCGCGGCGCTTCGGCGGCCCATGTGGTCTATAGAATAGCTTAACAAGGGCGCCGAATGAAGGCGGTCCCATTTTCGCGGCGCTTCCGCGGCCGGTGTGTCCCCGGCGTTAGGCAGAAAATTAAAAATTTAACTAAAATGCACCAAAATGCTAAACTATTGAGTACACGTGTCTGTAGCACGATTACACACGCATTTATATAGTTTATAAGAAAAAATAAGTAGATTTGGGGGTGACTTGCTCTTTAAGAATTTTATTTTACACCAATTTGTGATTATTTTTGAAAAGTGTTATAAACATGCTTTTATCATTTTATGACAACAAAAACTGTTGCATCATATGGGTATTAATTTGAACAGAAAATGACTTACAAGGCATTAATTCATACCAGGTAACCACAGCAGATGTATTGAAAAAAAGAAAAGGGAACGAGGCCTTTAAAGGACATCATTCCCCGTCCTTGTTTGATTTACATTTAGTGGTAAATTCATAGGAGAACTTGACAAATTCCATAATAATGTAATATAAGTCTTATGTCAATGTAAAAGTTTTAAAACAACATTTGCACGAGCTGCTGTGAACTTGTGGTTGGGATGCTTTCATTTTAATTGTGACTAGCTGTTAGCTCCTTGATCCAAACAGAACTAATCTCTGTTTCTCCAAACTGAGGCTTTTTAAAAAGCTACCTCCAACAGCTCAACTGTGGATTTATGCCTGATCACTTACATAAGCCCTTCTAAAGACTTTTGTTTTAGTCAGGAAGGATTTCAACAGTAGCATTGTATCATTCAGTCGTCTGCATTTTGTTGATTTAGTCTTTTTAAAAATACACACACACAGGCTCACAACAGCATTGTGACATCATAATGTACCAGTTTACATCATAGCATACCTCTTAGCCAATAGCGGTGGCAGATTTAAATTAAAATACAGTGCAGAGTTTTTTCCTGACAACGGCACAACACTGCCAGTTTTAGGCAGAATATTTAAATTTTAACTATCTAACTACTGAAGTGCCAAATTATTTACACGTGTCTGCAGCACGATTAGACCCTCGTTTATTTAGTTTATCAGTAAAAAAAAGTTTATTTGGGGGTGACTTGCTCTTTAAGCACTTTGGCAGTCTGGTTAGCTAGTCTGCAAATCAATAAACATTTCCACAGAACCCCGCCTTAAACTGTCTGGCTATCACTTTAAACAGGCCTTAGCACTGGAGGATAGCTCGTGACAAAAAGAGGATTTAGTTAGACACGTTCAGCTCTAGTTCTGGACACGTTTTCATCTGAAACCGACAACGAAAACCAACCGACCTGACTCTGAGCCTTTATCACTCCGACTACGCCGTGCTGGTACACGTCGTTGCTGCCTCGGTTGTACTGAGCAACGGCGAAGTTGAGAGCATTTTGGACCCCATCGTCATTAGGGTCTATGTCCTGTGGGCCACCAACGAGGCTACCGAGCCCGACGGCGAAAAGAACCACGAGAGGAAAGCCAATCTTCCACATCTTCGCTCGTTCACCGAAACTACGTATTGAGAAAATAGAGCTACAAGCTTGAACTTCCGGATTCTTCTTTATGTAAACAACAGCAAGAGCGCGAGCTTATCTCTCAGCCAATCAGGAATCACCGAGACACACACAAACCCCGCCTCTGAGGGGTTTCCGCCCCGCAGCCAGTTGAGGTAAAGGCTGCGTTCAGGAACGGATTATCCCGGAGGTTGCTCTCTCCAGACTGGAAGTGAGAACATTCCCTCCGGACACTTAAAACGTGACAAACAAGGTACGTTAAAAACGCGGAGGGGCACGGGGGGCAGATTTCGGCTCGCGCAACTTTTCGAAGTGCTGTGTGCAACCCCCCCCAACAAATTAACCATTGTCGACCTTTATCCTGTTACAGCACAAAGAAACCTGAGCACGCGCACGTTTTGACCCTTCACAATGCAGAGACTGCAGCTTTTAAAGTAACAAATCCTTGCGGTGTTTTATGTTGATATGAAAAGTAAAAGTTTGATCTCATTATTTGATTTTCTGGACCCCCCCCCCCCCCCCCCCCCCCCCTGCAGGGACACTTTCTTTGGCCTGGATGTTGTCCAGCAGCAACTCCTTATCGGGTCTGCTGTGGCCTTGGCGGCAGGTGGAATTCTGGCATATGTCATGCAGAGGAGGAACAAAGCCAGATCTATCCCTCTTGGTGAAGGATGGTGGGGAGCAGGAGAGAAGACTCTCTCGGAGGATCACACGATCTACCCCTTTTCAGTGAAAACCTCAGATGAAGAGATTAAGGTGCTTGCAAAATACCAACCCAGTTTCTAACAACAGCAGCTTTAGTGTGAAGGAATCAGCTGTTATCTTGTTGAACAGGACCTCCATCGGCGCATCGACAGCTTCCGCTTCTCAGATCCTTTAGAAGACTGCGGCTTCAATTATGGCTTTAACTCCACTTACCTTAAGAAAGTGGTTTCGTACTGGAGGAATGAGTTTGACTGGAAAAAGCAGGTGGCGATGCTGAACAAGTATTCACACTTTAGAACCAAAATAGAAGGTACACACAGCTCCACGGGGTTCAAACGGGTTAGATTCAATGTTTTCTCTTGTAAAAACTTTTTCTGGTGCTGCAGGACTGGATGTGCACTTCATTCACGTGCGCCAGGCAGTCCGAGGGGACCAGAAGGTTCTGCCACTCATGCTCGTTCACGGCTGGCCCGGCTCTTTCTACGAGTTCTACAAGATTCTGCCCCTCCTCACCCAGAGCCAGGATGGAGTTGCATTTGAGGTCGTCATCCCCTCAATCCCTGGTTATGGCTTCTCAGAAGCCCCTCACAAACAAGGTAATTATGAATAACGTGTGCACACGTCTGCTTCTGCGGACTGCTGATGTTTTAGCAGTGTGCTTCCTGCTTCCTTTCCAGGATTTAACAGTCTGGCTGTTGCTCGGATTTTCCTGACACTCATGGAGCGCTTGGGCTTTTCCCAGTTCTATGTGCAAGGAGGAGACTGGGGCTCGCTTATCACCACCAACATGGCACAGATGAAGCCTGAGTAAGCACAAAACCAGCTTATTAGAAACCATGTTGCACATCGGCATGGCTGAGAAAGTTCCCTCAACTAAGCTGTTGGTGAAAGAGCTCATTGTAGCGTTCCTCAGCTGTGGAACCATGCTTCCACTGTGTGCAGATGATTACGAAGTCATGACAGCACAGATTCCCGAAGAACGGAGCTGATAACATTGTCCTGCCACAAGATCACATTTACAGCAGTAATTATGAGTCAGGAACCCAGAAAGCAGCTGTTTCACAATACTTCTGTTTTCCAGCTGTGTGAAAGGTCTCCACCTGAACATGTGCATGTCAACACGGGGGTTCAAAGTGCTGCTGTCTTTGATCATCGGCCCCTATCTGCCCTTCCTGGTGGGCTTTAGTCGGGAAGATGTCCGCCGGCTGTTCCCTTTCTTTGAGAAGAATGTCTGGGAAGTACTGAGGGAGAGTGGCTACCTTCACATTCAGGCCACCAAGCCAGATACTGCAGGTGAGGCTGTGAGACGGGCTCAAGACGACTTTTCTTATTTTCACAATTTAAAGGTGGGGCAGATGTTTGTGGAGCTTTTTTGCCATAATTGCTCTTCACATATTGACTTTAATCGCTTCTGAAACGTACAATCCTGGAAAAACCTCAACCAATCACTGTGACTGTCCCGTTGTAAACGATGGGATCGTGATCCATCAAACTGCCCTCTGCACACACTCCTCTTTCAGCTTGGAGCTCACGGACAGGAAAAGAAGCCAGGGCCGGGCTAGCTAGTGTGTCGAGTGGAAGTTTCCATTCAGGTTACAGTTCAGTTTAGTCTGCTTCTGCTGAGAAAGATTCAGGTGACAGGCTCGTGTGAGCGCAGCCTGTCCCGTCGACTGGCGGAGCCGTCGGTCACTTACCTCGGCTACGAGCACGCATTAAAAGCCGGCATGACAAAACAAAAGAGCGATTGGGAGGAGGATGTGGAGTTTTCCCAGATTCTTGGTGATAGTTTGCTGCAATGAAGCTAAAACTGTCACCATAAAAACTCCCCATTATGTTAGCCATCATACGTACTTGTTATATAGTTATGTAGGCGCCATATTAGAAATATGGCAGAAAAGGAGCCAATAGCAGTTCAAAAACATACAACTGATTCCTCAGGAACAAGTATGTGTGTTGCTTTGTCCTAAAGGCTCAGCTTAGAGGAAACACCTGAGGATGTTGGACCTTTAGAATTGTTTATTTTTAAAGTTGTTGCTTGACTGGCAAGAAAAACATCCTCATATCCGACCTACGAGTGATTTCCTTCTGTGTTTGCAGGCTGTGGGCTAAACGACTCCCCCGTGGGCTTGGCAGCCTACATTCTGGAGAAGTTTTCCACCTGGACTAAAAAGACGAACAGAGACCTGGTTGATGGTGGGCTGGAGAGGTACTAAAGATAGACATGCTTTAGTCAGTTGCTGCCCTCTGTTATGAACTAGAAATGTCTTTTTTGTACAGAAAGTTCAGCCTGGATGACCTTTTGACAAACGTCATGATCTACTGGACCACAGGCTCCATCGTCTCCTCCATGCGCTTCTACAAAGAGAACTTTAAGACCAACCCAGAGAGCCGAATCGATGCAAAGTAGGAGACCAAACGCTCACATCAATTTTAATCTCATTTTATAATTTCTCTAACGATCCCACCTTTTGCTTCAGGACGGGAATATTTGTGCCCACCGGTCTGGCCGCGTTCCCTCAGGAGCTGATGCACTGCCCCAAGTCGTGGGCACAGATTAGGTATCGAAACATCTGTTCCTACACGTTCATGCCAGCAGGTGGCCACTTTGCCGCCTTCGAAGAGCCCCGGCTGCTTGCGGATGACATTTTCCAGTTTGTTAAAAAAGTAGAGAAGCTCTGAAGACTTAAGCGTACTCCCGGTTTCATGCAGGTGTTTTAGTATTTTATTATACCTGATAGTCTGTACACCACATACACATCTTTTTTGTTCCTTTCCACGCCGCGAGTCTTATCGCTTGATTTACCACATTATTGCAAAGATGTAAACATGAACCAGACCTCGGCTCACCACTGTTCCCTTATGACTGAGGAAAGCTTTGTAATTGTTCAAGTTCTGTTCAGTAAAGGTATATTGCACTGACGTTTGTGTTGCTGCTCTTTTTCTACACCAGAAAAGTAATTCTCTAGAAATATAAACACAATCGCCCACCAGTCATGCCTCTTTAGGAAGCTTTCGCTCTGCATCAGAAGCTTTAAAAGGTAAGACACCACGACGGTCTGATGTAGATCTGCGTGACTTGAAACAGACAGGAAACGCACATGCACAGCTAAGTTTAATACTTAATTTGAACGCCCAATAAATTTGACCAGATTACACTTCTGGAGCGGTGATCCAAGATCAGACAACACACTGCTTAACTTTAAGGGTCGGTTGCTAAGCCCTTAATGGTCATTGGTGCTTGGAACCACACGTAATCCTGCCAGTCTGATCCGTCTGCCTTTAGCTTCTTACAGGCGCCGGGGTCAGTAGACAGGGCAATCACTTGCTTTTTTACCCGCGTTGGGACTTTAAACTGCATCTTAGGGCGGAACCAGTCCACACCACAATCCCTGTGGGCCAGCGCCAACACTGTGGTGGGCATTAAGCGAACGGGTTTGGTGTCGGACAAAAGGTCGGCGACAAAAAGAGTGCGGAACAGTTGCCTTAAGCATGACGACACTCGTAGAGGCTGACTTCCATCGGCCAGTACCAGGGCCTCCATGTTGATCTCGTATATCTCCTTGGGGAGGATGACCGAGCTGCCCATCAGCAGTAAAACACGGGGGATCCTGCTCAAGGAAAACAGCACCTCCAGTCGCTGCAGCACCTCCTCCATCTCCTGGAGAGTCTGATGGCATTTACGCCGGTCCTTATTGGCAGACTGTGCGAGCCTCCGACTCACTGCATCTTTATCCTGGGAAGCAGAACGTCCCAAGCACTGTTGGTTAATCTCAAATCTACAATAAATTCACCTGACAGTGAGACATTACATTTATGTATTACCTGTGCCGTAGTATGCAGCTTCTTCTGGGAATAGACCAGCTGGTCGTATGTCATGGGTAGCTGTTGTCTCTGATAGAGAATGCATTTGAGGATTTCGCTGACGAAACGATAGCAGCTGTTCTGAGTTACGGCTCCAGGGAAGGCCACGTCCACACAGCCTTCTTCCCGTGCTCGTCTCACCACCTCGGCATCATTTTCCTCTGTGTTAACTTGCTGATTGTTGGCAGTCTGATCGAAATCCGGCTCAGAAGGGTCCTCTTGTGCATTATCTGTCCAGAACCAGAATAAAGTTATTACAGAGCGTAATGGACCCGTCACGGTCAACGTTAATGAAATGTATCAGAGCCATTATTCAGATAAACCTGATGAGCTCACTCGTCTCAAAAACTAACATGAGGTGTGAAATCAGGCTGTGGAGGAAGATTACTTTTGATTCTAATCAGATCAAATCACTTACAGAGTCGCATCTTATTGAGATTTATGAGACCTGTGCTTCAGCAGGACTCAAATCTTTTAAATCACACAATCACAAGACCCAACGCACCACCACATTGTGCTGACTCATCTCCACTAAGGGAGTTGATCTTAAATGCTGAACTCTTTCTGCAACCAGTGTCAGAAATGTGTACGAGTGTCCTTCCTTTAACTTACTCCAGTCAGGAGGAGCAGAGTCATGCAGCGGGACACCTTTAAACCCCACAGGAAGTGCTGTGTCAGCCATGAAAAAGGAGTTGCATCAATGTGACAGATTTCAAAAGAATCTGCATGAGCAATTTTCAATCCTCTTTGTGGCTTTTGAGTCACAAATGTTTCCAAATGCGATTCAAGGAAAAATGGTGCAAGATGTTTGTTTTTGCTACTAAAAAGTCAAGATGAATATGCAAATGTAAACATTTAACAAGTCACATTTAACTGAGTTTTGCAATTGTGGTTTGCAATGCACGTGGCAATTTTTTCCTAAATAAAATGTTGAACTGCATCACATGACACAATTAAAAATCTGATATTTAATTCTTAGTAAAAAATGTGCAAAAAAGTTTTTTTAGATTTGAAAACTGACCATCTGTTGGTAAATATCCTTACAATTTTTGGCATCTTTAAAAGTAAACCAGGAATCTAAAAACCACATTTTAGCAAAAACAACATCTTACAATAAATGCATTATTTATTTCTTCATTTAAATAATTCCAAAGTTTACATAAAAGGAAAACTAGGTCCACTAATTCTTGATGTTGACTCTTTTCTCTAGTTTTATTTTTAACATTTAGGTAACTAATAATGAAAAGAGCCTTAAATGAACATAAATGCGTCAGGTGTAACCACGCAGACTGATGGATGACACGTAAGCTGAGGTAATGCAAATTAAAGAGAAAGAACATTGCAAACACAGCTTAAGGGACTTTTGAGGTAAACATCTTATTTCAAATGAGACGATCCTTAAAAATAATCTAACTACAACAACCGTGCTGAAAATTCAACGGTTCTACTTGGTGCTTCTCATGTTGTAGTTTTAATATTTAACCCTAACCCTAACTGGTTTAGTGAAATAATCATACTTTAACAACTTGTATCTTTCTAAACATCTTGTTTTATGTTTCTCTTGTTCTGAAATTACCCGATCCATCTAGCCGTGATCACATGTATATTTTATTGGCGTTATTGGGCACATCTAATGTGGTCAGTTGCATTTAGTTTTGTCCACAAGCAATAATTTGAAATATTATGTTGACATCTGACATCATCAGGCGTTACCTACTGATCAAACTGACCGGCACAAGCTTATTTTAAGTTGATCAGGAAACAGTTTGGGTATGAAACCAAATATAGCTGCACATTAGCCTAAACGGATCAAAAGCAGGAAAGTAAGCTAACTCTATGCTACCTGCCTTGAGACGTGGTTGTGGGAACAGCAGCATTTTCTTTGGCTTCAGTAGAACTCCCTCTGCGTTGTTCTGGACACTCTTCTCTTATTTTACCATCATTTTTCGTCTCTGAACATGTGTCGCTGGCATCAGACGGGAGTCGTTCAGCTCTTCCCTCTGGCTGGCTCCATGAACTGGAGACGTTGGAGACACTTTCCGCACTGCCGCCTAAAGGCGTTATTTCGGGTTCTCCATCAACGCTAACATCCTTCTGTGGTGAAAACGAGAGCCGTCCCTTTATCCCGCCACCCGTGGTGTCAACAGCGGTCTCCGTTTCTGTGGCCGCCGCCGAGACTGATGTAGGTTTTGAACAAGTAGAATTATCTGCCATGTTTTATTTTTGAAAGTCCGCGCCGGTGTTTTCTCGCACTGCATCATGGGAAATCCAATAGATGTCGCGTTCAAGCTACGTAGCACAAAATCGGAAAAAATAAGCTTCCCAACGCCACTCTGGTGTTCTTACAATAATTTAACTATTCTTGTTTCATTTATTTTACTTCTCAAGAAACGATTTATATCATCATCATATTTTGGGTTCACACAAAACGTTTGTTGTTATTTGACAGCCCTTCTGTTTCTGGTAGCAGCTGCAAGGACTTATAATGCCTTTTTAACCTATGAATTGTGAATGCAGGACATTTCAGATATTTGTTTTTTGCACACTACAGATTCAACCACGTGTAATATTACCAAACGACAGTTTCGTCAATTGGAAACCAAACGTTTTTGTTATAAGTAAATATTTATGAAGTGATGTATTGTCTGATCTTGCCCAAGGCACATTTAAACGGAGAACGTGCTTGAGACACCCTCTAGTGGACAGTTTATGCACTGCATCGACAACGTGAGGATCAGTTCCAGGTGTGATGATTAGATTAGGTGGTAACAAACAAGGCCAAGGTTTGCTTAAAACTCTAGCAACGGGACGTTGGCTCTTCGTCTGTCTGGTTTGATTAATAATGTCTTCAGTTCAGGTCGCGGTGAGAGTGCGCCCTTTGAACAAAAGGTCAGTAGAACAGAGTGACTTATTATTTTAACAGGAAAACAGAAAACAAACTTTTGCACGGCTTGTTGCAGAGAAAAACAGTTGTCATCAAAGGTGATTGTGCATATGAAGGAGAACACCGCATCCATTCATAAGGTAGGCTAGACTGTCACAGAATGAATTCTACTTGAGTTCATTTGAGTGATTTTTTTTTTTATTTCAGCCTTCTTCTTTACGTGGAGACAAGTTGAAGGACAGAGGCAAAATCTTTTCTTTTGACTTCTCTTTTGACTCAACTGACAGTAAAAGCTCCACGTTTGCTTCCCAGGAGAAGGTGCTGTCTGTGTTTCATCTGTTTAACTCTTATTTGCACCAGTGTTGAACCACTTCTTGCATTTTATTTCTATAAATGTGTAAAATGGATATTTTACACCTGTTTCAGATTTTCCAGGACTTGGGATCTGATGTAATAAAAGCAGCTTTTGAAGGTTTCAACGTCTGCTTGTTTGCATATGGCCAAACGGGCTCAGGGAAAACTTACACCATGATGGGACATAAGGTAAGTAAAATACTTGCAATATGCATGCTGAACACTGCAGCGTAACGGCAATATTTACGACTTCACAACAATCAGTGCTGTATGCATACCTCTTCTATTATACCTCCGTCTTTACTCTGCATGTGATGACCTCTTGCCACTTTGGACCCCAACTGAATGCTGCCTCATTAGACTAGCTTGTTCTTCCTCACTAGTCAGAATTTTTGATGAGTGCAGCAACACACACACACACACACACACACACACACACACACACACACTGCACTAGGGATTTTACACTAGGAGGTTTCTGCTTGGGGGACTTGTGCAAGGTCATCAGCAGAGTTGCTGTCAACATCAGAGATAATTATATAACTTAATGCTTACTGTCTGTTACTTTGTAATTAAAAACAAGAGGACGTACTGCTCCGGCTGGGATTGCTTTTATGCTTCACTACCTCCACAGCTGATGAGCTGCTGTTGTTCAGCGGTCTGTGTGTGTGCTGAGTCGTGGTTATGGCATGGTGTAGACAACCAGATTAACTGAAGTATAATAGGATCGAAATGTAATTGTCATTTCAGTGCGAGCTTCGTCTATTTCAGCGGGTGTAAAAGCAGATGTCTTCTCAATTTTAGGTGGATAAAGGTTTAATTCCACGGATCTGTGAGGGCTTGTTCTTGGAGTTATCCAACAGAAGCAAAACTGAGACTGTCTCATTTCACACGGAGGTCAGGTAAGGCCGTATTATCGTTGCCTTCTGTTCAGCATTCGTTGCTTCTTCAAACCTGTTGTGGTGATCAGTTTCAGTGGATATTCAACACATTTATGGAAGGATCCGTCCATCCATTTTCGTCCGCTTACTCATGGTTGGGTCCCGGAGGAATTGGCCTAAGCAGGAGGCCCGGACTTCCCTCTCACCAGCCACTTGGATCAGCTCCTCTGGGGAAATCCCAAGACGTTCCCTGGCCACCTGAGGCATAGTTCCTCTAGCGTGTCAGAGTCTTCCTTTGGGTCTTCTCCCAGTAGAATGTGGCTGGAAAACTTCACCAGGAGGCCTCTTAACCAGATGGCCCAGCCACCTCAACTGGCTCCTCTCTGTGGAGGAGCAGCAGGTCTACTCCAAGCCCCTCCCGGATGACTGAGCTTCCCACCGCTCGTATCCACAATCTCGTTCTACCCAAAGCTCGTGACCACATTCAGAGTGGGAACATAGCTCGACCGGTAAATCAAGAGCTTAGTCTTCCGGCTCGGCTCTCTCCACCACAGCAGATCGGTACAACGCCCGCATCACTGCAGACGCCGCACCAATCCGCCTATCGATCTCCCGCTCCATCTTTCCCTCACTCGTGAACAAGACTCTAAAATACTTAAACTCCTCCACTTGAGGCAGGACCTCATCCCTGGCCTGGAGAAGGAATTCTACCCTTTTCCGACTTGTGGGCGGATGTGAAACGATAAATTTAATGTCCCATATTTAGTTTTGTACATAAAGAAACGATAAAACCCTCAGAATAGTGCAATGTTCACAAGAGGCATCAAATCAGTATTTATTTACTAAAATGACATATTTAATCGTAGCCAGAAGAATCAGACGTGATGAAGGCACGTTTGCCATACATGGAGAACTCTTCAGAGGTTTACCGGCCAGGATTACATGCAGCCTGTGCGCTGGGCCCAGACACATGGGCAGTCACATTTTTTAGCTGTTTAATGAAACTTTAACTATGTGGTTGTTTAATCTCCACCCTGTTCTAACATGACGCTAAATCAGAGCTGATCTGGACTGTTTGCCCTAAACGATCTGTGAACTTCTGAGAAAATCTGAAGATTTAACCTGTAAAGAGTTCAGCCCTCTGGACGAGGAAGAAAAAATGTTCATGCACAACACATCACTTACCGCACACAGCACCTGTTTCTACAGAGAAAACCAATTCATGATGCCGTCATCTGCCCCACACTTCAGCCCCATGAAATATTTACAGAACGCTGTGAAAAGGTAAATCTAAGACAAGGATGTCATTTCTGAAGCAAGACCTGAATCTTCAAATAAAAGGTAGACGGGAACATTTCACCAAGCTGGCTGAGACTGAACGGTGTAAAAGCAAGGCTGCCTGACCCATTACTACCACTACTACCACTACTACCACTACTAAAGCAGTACTGCTTTCCTAATTGTTCAGATAAAATTTTTTGACAAATTTGATGCCTTTGATAATTTAGTTCAGTGCTAAATAAGGTACTTTGTCTATATTGGCTTCATCTTTTAATAAAATTTAAACTATTTTAAGATGTTTAATACGAACATTGAATTGTCTTCAGTTTTATAAAAAAAAGGGGGAAATTCAAATTAAAGTTGTTCCTTAAACTAATTTATTACGGCAAAAATCACCTCTTAGGTTAAAAGCTGGAATTTTTAAAGCAACACACATATTTACTAGGTCTCTAAGACCCGGTTTCCACATATGTGGACGTTGATGTCCTTCACTAAACTTTTTTTATTTTTAGAGGAACTTTATTGACTTAAAGAAAAAACATTTTAAAGCTTAAATTTTTTTCCAGACGTTTACAGCAACTTGGAGCGGCCACCCACACAAAATAAATTGGAGCGATATCACGTTCTAACATAGCTTTATAATTTTCACATTAGTACAATGTACTATCGCGTTCTAACAATATAATATTTATATTGTATAAATGTGATTATTATAATATTGGAACAATAAAGCAAATGTGATATTACTCCAATTTTATTTTGCATGGGTGGCCGCTCTACGTGGCTGCAGAGGTTTGTCAAAATTAAGATAAAAAAAAACGTTTTTGCATGTTTATGGGAGTCGACTAATCTGTAATGCCTACAAGTGTTTTTTCTTAACGCACACCAAATACAAATTCGGGACTTGGGAGGTAAAATAAAACAAATGAACACCCATGCAAACGTTATTGCTTCTCCCAGACATTTGCAGGCTTATATTTTTATTTGTGGTATAATTTAAGCATGTACGTTTATTTATTTAATTTTCCTGATCTTTGTTTCCTAACATTCACAAAAAGTCAGTAAAAACCCTATTTTAATCCTGATTGAAATCTCAACAGTGTTGGAAACATCCATAATGATGCATGCATGGCTACATCCACCAGATGCATTTCTTTGTTTACGCAGTTAATTCTTGCACGGTCCTAATGCCTAATTGTTTGATTCCTTTCATTGTTTCTGAATTTGTGACTCTGATTTAGTCACAGCACAAACCAACAATGGTTTTCACTGAACCTCGCTGCCAAGCCTATTATGCATGTAATTGTTTATTTGTTGCCAGAACAACCAACTTTCAAATTTGGCTTTAAAAAGTAACTTGTTTCCATTTGATGCTCCGCCATTCAGTCAGATTTGTGCCATTGTGTCCTTGTGTAAAACCTTGAATTAGTCTTTTTTATTATTTTTAAATTTATTTGTCTTCGCACCAGCTATCTGGAGATCTACAGCGAACGTGTTCACGACCTTCTGAAGAAGAAATCACCAAGCACTGATGGAGGGGGGTTGAAAGTGAGGGAGCACCCCTATGAAGGACCCTACGTAGAAAGTAACGTGTTATTTTTATCCTTTTTATTCTTAAATACGTTGTTGTAGAAAGTCTGAGGACAAAGATACTTTTGTAGATCTGTCGAAGCACGTGGTGCACAGCCATGGCGACGTGGAGGCTTTGATCAGTCTTGGCAACACCAATCGTACTGTAGCCAGCACAGGCATGAACGACTTCAGCAGCCGCTCGCACGCCATCTTCACCATCACCTTCACCCAGGTCAAACACGCAGTTTGTGTTGTTGCTTTGAACTAGTTTGTTAAACATGTGGCATAATCCCTCCTCATACCACAGGCATGGTTTGATGCAGAGTTGCCACGTGAGAAGCGGAGTAAAATCCACCTGGTGGACTTGGCGGGCAGTGAGAGAGCTGATGCCACCCACACCGCAGGCCCCAGGCTGAAGGAAGGAGCCAACATCAACAAGTCCCTGGTCACCTTGGGGAGTGTGATCTCAGCTCTTGGTAAAAGCAGCTACACACACAGTGACCTATTGGTGTTGGCTAGTGCTGATCATATCTTATTGTTCACGGATTGGGATTAAAGCCGTACTTCATTTTCTTGAGCCAGTATGTCCCAAAATAAACCTGTGCATGAAAGGCCACCCCCTGTTGCCAGAATATTCCACTTGCAACTTCAGAGTGGCCGGTTTGGTGTGTTGGACTACCTAGCGCTGCAGTCTGCTTCCAGCATGTTACTTGCATGTTTTAGATCACGAGCACAGCTGATTTGTTTAATTTAGTGCTGAATCACTCCTGTAGACACTAATGAAGGCTGGGGAGACATTTTAGCTGTTAGATTAAGGTGTTACGATGACTACTGCACGAGGAGATGAGACTTTTGCTTCTCCTAAATGGACTCTAGGGGGTGCTAAAAGCAAACAAAAATGCATTAGTTATTTAGTAGGGATGCACCAATACCGATATTGGGATCGGTGCCGGTAAAAGTTAAGATACCAGGAACCGATACCAGTGCAGTTGCCTGAAAGTGGCTTCACTGTAACTTGTCTTTTCTGTTCACCTAATATATTTAGTGATAATTTCTATTTATTTTTAACTACCCAAGTCTTTTTTTCCTATTGAAAGCAGAGAAGAAATTAAAACCTGTACTCTAATTCATTGCATTTTTTTGTGTGGTAGAAGTATCAGTATCGGTAAATAGTATCGACGAGTACTCGGATCCAAATATCAGTATCATATCGGTTTGGAAAAAAATGGTATCAATGGATCCCTACTATGTAGTCTTGTTTCAAAAAGAAACGGAAACATCTGGCCTGTTTGAATGAGAATTTTTATACTAAAATGGAGAAGTAAAGTTTTTTTTTTTGTTTTCAACACAATTAATTTTCCTCCTGTTTTTGTTCCCAATGCAACTTGCCAGCTGATATTGGTGAAGGTGGACAGTTGGCCAAAAAGAAGCAGATCTTCATTTCTTACAGAGACTCTGTGCTGACATGGCTTCTAAAAGACAGCCTGGGTGGAAACTCCAAAACTACCATGATAGCGAGTAAGTTTAGGTTTTTCGTTATTTACTCACCTGTGAGCATTACTTAATGGTGAATTTCACCTTGCAGCCATTTCCCCGGCTGACTCGAACTACGCCGAGACTCTGAACACTTTACGTTATGCGAGCCGTGCTAAAAACATCGTGAACACCCCCCAGGTGAACGAAGATGGCACCGTGAAGATGATCAGAGAGCTGCAGGCTGAAGTGGCCAGGCTTCAAATACAACTAGCAGAAGCTGTTCAGGTCCTTGCATGCTTCTCAGCACATACAATCTGAGTTTTCCTCTAAAGTCTGATTTAGTGTTTTGTTGTTTTGCAGGGTTATGGCTGCGAGTCACCCACAACTCGGAAAGTAGAAGAGAAGCTACATCAAAAGGAGGCCAAGGTAAAATAAAAGAACAAAATGTTTGCGAGTGTGTTTCTTTACACATTAAATCAGTTTTTTCCTTTATTTCTTCCAACAGATTGAAGTTCTCACCAAGCAGTGGACCAGTAAGTGGGAGGAGACGCCGACTGTTCTGCAGGTACAGTATGTATGTATGTTTCTATTTATGATGATTTTTTAAATTTGACCTTTTGCTCTGATAGTTTTGGACAGAATAGAAAGAATTAAGAAGACAAACATTCATTTCCCTCCATCTGTTTAAATTTTGCAAATGTGTTTATGGAGACAGGAAAAATCTTTCTACTTAAGAATATTTTTATTCAAAGCTGAAAGCCAGAGAAGAGATGGGACAGCTGCTGCAGTAAGCAGATCCCACCAGCTGGTGTCACTGTAAGCCCTGTAAACACCCACTTCATGAAGGGGGTCAAGTTGGCAATTGAATTAGATTTTCTAACCATTTAGATTTCAAAGGCATTAAAAAGCAAAGCGATTGCAGCAGTTGTGGTGGTGTGAAATGGCGTTTTTCTTTGGAGGGTGAGAAGAAGGAATGTAAACAAGTAGGTCTTCCCCGAGGCAGGAATGGTGCATCACCCTAGAACTCCCCCAAGGTGCAACACACAATGCCGTTATTCCTAGTTATAAAATCGTGCCGAACTATTTTCTTGGGTTGAATTGGTGCCCAACCTTCAAAATAACACCAACTGTCATTTTTTGGAACTATCTGTATTCTGCGAAGTAGCCTGTTGCATTATGCATCAAGCTGTGATGTGTGCCAGTCAGGGGAAAGAAATGTGGAGGGACTGCGAGCCAGTGATGAATTCTTTAACTAACGTCGAAGTCTTGCAGAGTTGGGATGAACAGGTCCGGAGAGATGTCCGATGGCAGACTTTAATTTCTCACGTTTTAGTCCCTGATGTTGTAGCAGGAGCTGTTTGTAAGGGACAGATATAAATAGATGGTTGCGTTCACATGAATGCAGAAGAGCATGCATGTATGGTGGGGAATTAACACTCTGGTGTCAGACCGACATACGCGTATAACTGTGTATGCCTATCTGACTGCACACACATGTTGTCAAATCATCATGCATTTTTTTTAAAGCTGTACGACACCCCGATGGTCCAGTTTACCTGTCGGGTCATCATACTATGTTTTGGGCATTCAACCATATGGTACCCTGACGGGCGGTTTTACCAGTCGGATCATCGTACCCTTTTATTACCAACCTTATGAGACTCAGACTTGTCAATTTAATATATTTTAAAGCTTTATTTTCTGTAAGAATTTTAGAATTAGAAGGTGGCAAATAAAACATCTGATACACATTAATCAGTTGGTTTTAGTGGATGGTAAAACATTATCAACACAATCGACAAATGCTTTCCTCATACTTGGCTTTCCGTATCCTGACCTGACGGCTCCTCAGAACGAAGCGCAGGTTTAGATGAAAGCCCATCGACTGCATGTATGCAGCTCTGACATGTATGGTGCTGTCAGAACGGACTCGTTAGCTTCTGTTGCTGCTCCTAATTGGGTCTGATTACTGACATGTAACACTTTGATGTTTGGCTGTCCAGCAGATTAAACTTGTAGTCGTGTAAATCAATTAGCATGTTCTGTATGTTGAGGCGATGAAACTTGTTTAGAGCTGTTCCCATCCAGAAGCATCAGTTATCATGCATGATGCAGTGTAAAACCCAGGTGAAAATGCCGCTGTCGTGGTGACCGGTGGACCTGCCGATGCCGCTGAAATTCTGAAGTGTTTGAATGACTTTATAGATTTGACATTTGTCTTCCTGAGCACTTGCATTCTGCCTTTATGGGGAAAATGAACAGGATTCCTGCTCATGCGTCGGTACAGAAGCACATCCAGGCAGCACGTGTCGGATATCGAGCTCCGACTCTTGTACACGGCTTTTGAAATAGTTTCCAAGAGTCTGCTTCCTATTTTGTGTTTAATTGATGGGGAAGCGCAGTGAGAATTTCCACTTGGGCCTTAAGGAAACACGTTGACCAAAAGCGTCGTAAACTGATGAATTTTGGATTCTGTATTCAAAGCAGATTTAGAAGGCAAAGTTATTCAGCGTCGGCTTCCTAGATTGGTTACAGGGCACGTGGCAAAGAGAAGGCAATTAATACGAGATGGATTTCAGAGCAGCCTCTCACCAGTCGGAGACGGTGACAGATTCAGAAAAGAGAGGCAGGAATCATGTGGGGTTCTATATTTATGTTCTGTACACAGGCCTACACATTTGAGAAGTTTTAGTTTATTAGTAGGGCTGCACTCTGTTCTCCTAGCCATGCTTTCAGGTCTGCTTGTAATGTTTTAAGAAGAGAGGAACTTCCATTTGACTGAGATAAATGAACCACAAGATTTCTTTGATCCTGTAGCTTTTGCATTTTCTGAAACACGCTACCATCAGCACCGCTTTAAACCGGGATGGCTCTGCTCTGGTACTGGTCAATGGGACTGGTAATGTCAGCGGTTTGACGTCGTCTTTATAACGGTTCACAACCTTCACACATTCCGTTTCATGTCTACAGCAGCTTTTCTTTACACGTGAGTTCAGCTTGGTCCCAAACCGGATCAGCTTTCAGAATGTGATCAAATAAAAACCGTTATTTGATCATCTAAGAAACACACGTCTAATGTCTACAAGGACCAAAACGTCTCGCACGAGGAGCCAAAAATGAATAAAACAGCACTTTATTGATGACAGCTGATATCATTTTCAACCACTAACTGAATTTGAGACCTGAACAACGAGAATCTCTGTGGAAATTTTAAAAAGCACCATTCTGTATGTAGAATAAGTTGGCTGAAAGGAGTTTAAACTTTAGTAGAATTTCTCACACAAATCCTATAAATGTTTTATTCCGGTTTCTTTTTCCTTTGTTTTTCCAGCAAAAGTTGCATAAAGTGGTTGTTCCTTGGACCTTAAAGGGGACAGGGTTAGGGTTAAAATCCCTTGTTTGCATATTTTGGTGCTGCCATGTGGGTCTCTACCGCTTCTATGAACACCCCAAACATGAAATTAACCCATCCACCCGTTTTCTGTCAGGGACTTTCTGAAACCGCTTGATTTAGACACACAATTCCTGAAACTGTTTGTGATGCCACAAATGGAAAATTAGAATAGAACGACCTCTCACTCTAGAGAGTTGATGCTGGAGGAAGAGTGGCTCTACTCCGAGCCCCTCCCAGATACCGGAGCTTCTCAGCTTATAGCAGCCTGAGCAGCAGATGGATGGGCGTGGCCAGCTCCAGCTTGTTTTCTAATAGCTCTTTTCCATCGCCAGGTCTGGAATGGTTTGGTTATTTTTGGATCGGTGTGTTCCGGTATGGGTCTGGAACTTTCAGGCGAGCGTTTCGATCAGTTTTGGCCATCACACCAGCAGGCGGGGTTGAACGAGTCATCATGCACAGTTTTCTAAGTTTTGCAACTATTCAGTATTTCTGTGCTGCAATAAATGGTCTACAGAGCGAAAGACAAAAACAAAATGTTTACCACAGCTTCCACATGTGACTCCAGAGTGCAGTCGCTAAGTCCAGAAGCCTGCCTCGGCTATAAATGGCATCCGACGCGTATTTCTCCCATCCGAAAAAACCAAAATCTGCTCCAGCTGTTTCCGTCGTGAAATGTTAATTTTATTGGGCTTTAATTCCTTCGTCTTGGCCCGACACTGTGCCGACGTCCGCTCTGATCATTCGGATCCTTCGGTTTCCATCCATGAGAAACTACCGATCCGTCTACCTGTGGACTGTTACGATGACTATGAGAAATGCATGGAAATCTGAAAGTGATCAAAACTTGCTGCTACTTGCTGGCATTTTTTCACATTTCTGAACAGCTAATGAAAATACAGACAATGGAACTCCGTTTGTTTTGCTTGTTGCAAGTAGTGACTTATTTCTGTCAGCCAATCAGTGGACTGTTGTTGCTCCACCCTAACTGTACCACTCAAGACATTTCTGGACCTACAACAGAAGTGAGCCAAAAAAGTCCTGTGATTGGCGCAGTCCGGGGGGGGGGGGGGGGGGGGGGGGGTTGTCTGGACCGGTTTTACAATCTGAACAGAAGAATTAGTGACCAGATCCTTCCCATTCCATGCCAGTTTGGGTGATTGAAAAGACCCATTAAAGTGAAAGAGCCCTGAAACGGCTCATTCTGGAAGGTGATGAAAATGTCAAACAGCTGAAATAGCTTTATGTGAGATAGAATTACTATACAGCATGTCCTAAACATGTTTTTATGGACCATAAAAATGTAACTTAACAAAACTAGTCTCACGTCCTCTGTAATATCGGTGCAGTTGATTTTCTCATCATAGCAACACGTTTCTGGTTAAGATTCTGCTCCTGAGTGTAACAAACTAATGACGGAAAGAAGGAAAATATCTGCTGTTAACAAGCCGACGGCTCTTTAACGTTGGATGTGATCAATCATTGCAAGCAAAAGACTTTGTCGTTTTAAAAGCTGGTCACGTAATTGCCTTTCCTTTTTATGTGGAAGTCGTTTGCACCTTTTATAAAGACTAGAAATAAGGGATATAAACGCAACTCTTTAAGGAAAATGTACCTTTCAGTGTGACACAGCAATCTGAGCTTAAAGGTTTTCCCTTTGTTTTGGATTCGGAGCTAATCTGTTCTCTTAGCAGATTGTTCTACTTGACTAAGTTGACGGGCAGCGGGGGAAGCTTTGGTTCTGAGATGTGATTTGTCCAAGTTGGAAACCCACACAGCCGAGAAAAGGGCTGGACGAAAACGGGAATTAAAATTCTCCTCGACTACAAATTGTGTTTAATGGCAGCTTTAAAAGCAGCCCGATGTTTTGGCTGCTGGTTGAGGCCACAGCTAATTACAGTAGCTCACAAGCTGCTTCAGTCTGAACTTCGTTTACTTTTTGGGTCGCGCTGCTGTTGCCACACCATGACGGGTTGAAGAGCAACAGTCTGTGCTTTTAAGGAGAAAATGGGAGGATCTGATTGGTTCCTGGTGTTTAAGGAAAGTGACATGGAGCAATAATCTGCCAGGCTGCCCCTCACCTCTGAAGTCTGTGAAAAATCCCTTTTAATTAAGTACAGAGGCCTTGGTCGATGTCTCCTTCATTAGGACAAAAGGATTTCTCCCGTCTCACAACTGCCAATGACTGAGGTGGAGCTGGTGGTGATCATGTCTCTCACTTCGCGGTCCGATCTATACAGTGGAGCAGGAGGAGGTTGAAAGTGAGGGCAGCTAGTTGTGTTTCATCTGTATTCACTGAGATTTTCTGCTCTGCCTCTTAGTCGCTACGTATAATCTATGACGAATAGGAGTCATTAGCCCTTTAGATGGCATCCCTCGCACGTAGCAGACATTTTGTTTATGGAGCAGAAAAATCTACTTTGGCCTGTTTACTCCTTTTTGTTTAATTGCAAAATCAACAACCCCACAGTCGTCTCTTCTGCAGAAGGTTGGGTCCTTTTTAGGTAAAATGGAGCTTTACATCGTTTTGAAACGAATACTGCTCCTTCATGGCCACGTGCTTCCTGTGAGTCATGCTGCCACATTTTCACAGCGACAATTCCTGGAGGCAGTGAAGCGTTCTGAGAAGCAGATCAGACATTTAAGTACAGCTTTCCCGTACTTTAGAGAAGACTGTCAAGGATTAAATCAATGTCTCATCACTTTTCTCTGGAGAAAATAAAATACAATTAAAGGGGATTTATGAATGTGTAAAAATTCTTTATTATTCACATAATTTCTCTTTTGTTTTTGTGTCTAAATAAAGACAAATAGAATTTTTTTCTTGTTTTAATTTTAAATGGAAGTATATACTCCAAGACTGAAATGGCAGGTTGGTATGGTGTTCAACAGCACCGGAATTATTTACAGTAAACCAGTAAAGGTGTATTTAGTTTTTGCTATTGTCTGTGTGTGTGTGTGTGTGTGTGTGTGTGTGTGTGTGTGTGCTTTGTCGGTCTCGCCGGCTGAACACAATATACAGTTTGACTCTCGCCACCATAATCTGAATGATTTATGGCATCTCGTTTGCCGTTAGCCTCTCGGCTTGGCGGTGACGCATGGTTTGGATGCAGCCATTCTTCGTGGCCTTCGGCGAGGAAGAGCAGTCATAAAGTATTCAGTTTTCTGCTGGTTGCCATTTAATGTCTGTCAGCGTTTTTATTGCGCACCATTGCAGCTAAAGGCTACTGAATGTATTGTTTCTTGTATGTTCTGGTGTGACCCGCAGGAGGAGACGGTGGCTCTGAGAATGGAGGGCAGCGGAGTCGTCCTGAACTGCCAGTTACCTCACCTGATAGGCATCAACAAAGACCTGCTCACCACTGGAATCAGACTCTATTATCTGAAAGTGAATAGATCATTGGGAAGTTAAATGCCAGCTCTGTTCAAGTCTGCTTTTGTGTCACAATCTTTTGATCTTGACCGCAGGAGGGCAGAACCCTGATTGGGAGTGAAGAAGCATTGTGTAGTCGGGATGTCGGTGAGTTAATTTCACGACCCTGTACTCGTGGCACCATAAGCCCAGCTGCTGCTCTATTCAAACTACCATAATTGTGTTGCAGTGCTTGATGGACCTGGACTCCTCCTTGAACACTGCCTGTTTGAGAACAGCGCTGGGATCGTGGTTCTGTTCCCTCAGGATGGTGCACCGTGTTCAGTCAACGGGTCTGTGCTCTCCGATCCCTGCCAGCTCAGTCAGGGTAGGGATTTTCTTCTTTTCCTGCTAAAGTAAATTTTCTCCTGATATGAATTAAATATGAGAAGAAAGGAGCAATTCAATTCAAAAATACTTTATTAGTCCCAGAGGGAAATTGGTTTAAGTACACACAATTCTGAGATCAGACATGAATACATGGACACATGACAAGAACTGGTGACTGTGGTCATTCGGGATCCTGTTTCCCCCAGCGAGAGCAGCCATCTATGGGGCTCATCTACTGAACAGTCACAGATAGGAAGGAGATCTTGTGAGAAGCAAAGAGTACATTGACTCCTACAGGTTGATGACCTCGCCAAGCTGAAGTCCACCAATCCGAAGGCGGAGGGGTGGGTAGTGGGGTTAAGGTCAGGTTTTCACAGCATCTGTCTGCATTCCTTCGTGGGGGTTTAGTTGCTTGCAGCTCAAGGCTACCAGGGTGTCAGATTCGGATAGCAAGACTTTGTTTGGGTCAAGCTGAGATAATTTTCCTCTCTGCCTTCAGTCTTCAAACTGATCATTCCAGTCCTTCAGTGAAGCCAATGTTGGGTTTTTGAACCTGTCCATACCGTCCGGTGATTCTCACAGAGATGACATCCATTTTGCGCACTAATACCGGTATCGCAGCTAGAACATTTTCCAACTACGAATCACCTCGAGTAACGTTCCAGTCTGAGAAGTCTCCACACGGACGGTGCTTTCCGTGGGTGCGGGTCGCCCTCCAATCGCTCCCGTCTTCGCAAATTTCCAGAAAACCAGATATCCTCCCACTCCAATCAGGAGAAATCCAGTGATCATCAGGCTGAATATCCACACGTCTTCGATGTCCTCAATGGAAAACTGGGAGAGGCATATGATCTTCCATTCCCTCCAGGAATCCCACATATATCCCACCGGGTGTGTCCCCTGTGGACAAGTGGGAGCCCCCTGCTCCGTTCTCATTGTTGAAAAAAATCTTATCGATTGCATTGAATGACCAGTTTATCAAATCCATGGTTAGTAAAAAAATAGTTTTTCAGAAGAAATGCAGAGAAGCACTCTGTGGGCAGACAGGACAAAGAGCCTTGGGGGGAAAAAAGATAAGGGAGCGAAAGAGGGAAGAGTCTGTACTCCGAGTGCCTGAAGAAGAACTAGCTCAAGAGGGTTTATATGAGGATAGTCAGGAGGAGGGGAAAAAAGGCACTTACGGGTTACCCTCCACAGAGAGGGCAGTTTTGCTATGGAAAAAAAAACACCTCGGACAGATATGCGCACAGACTTAAGACATTACACAACATAAGTGTCCACTAGGTGGGAGCAGCGCTCATCACCTCAGTTTGGACAGGGGAGGGAGATGTGTTAGAGGGCACATTGACTCCAAGATACGGTTCCACGGCCTTCACCGGTCTCAGTCCCGCCCAGGCTGGGATAGGGAGAGTTTCCATAGCGACGGCAGCATTCCACATTTCTTCTGAGGGGAGTTTACACTTGAGCCTCACAGGCTCCAAGGACACCTGATTTAGATAAGAATTGTTTTAGGGACAGACAGATAATTTCCTCTCTGCCTTAGGGTTCTGTTGGTCTGCAACCCATCTAGATCCAATAATGGCGTAATTTATCAATCCCAGTCCATGCTGATCCATCCACTCGCTCCTTGATCGAATCCACCATCTGTGCCAGAGCCTGAATCTCAGCCAAAGTTCCAAGCTTACGACTCATCTTGACAATTATGAGTTTGTGTGTTTACAGCACGATGCAGTCCATCCCTGAGCTTCGGGATTGAGCCAATATTCCTCGAAAGCTCGTTAATTTTCTGGTAAGCCAGGTAACCGCTCAGGCCAAACAGCAGGAATCCCGACACCAAAACGACGAATATCCAAACGTCTTCAGAATCCTCTACAGTTGAGAGAGGCATATCAGGTGCCACTGTTTCCAGGAGTCCATGATATACCCAGCTGGCTCTGTCCCAGAGGGGCTGCCGGGAGCCCCTTCTCCCATTCTCATTGTTGGGAAACTTTTGTCTATCGAGACCAGCTGACCAGATCCATTTTTAATAATTCCCAGTTTCCAGAATAAATGCAGAAAGCGCCGTGCACACAAAGACAGGACAAGGAGCCTTGGGATGAGGAGGGAGGGAGAGGAGAAAAAACGTCAGTACTCTCCAAGTGCCGGAAGAATGTGCAATGCACGACTTTATAATAATTTCTCTCCACACTTAACAATTATTTGGCTTATTGGAGTTGATGACACTTTTATCCATTTTGAGTGCAGCAAGATGACGTCAGCGCATCTCATCTACAAATGAAATCCACTTTGTGTCCCAGGCTGTTCTGCAGCTACGCACTCGAGCCATGAGTGGACTGTGAATGCAGCTCTCCACAGGGCAGATGCCATTTCTCTTACCAAACATTTTGAAGGGCGAGGGGCCCTGGACAAAGCTCCAGACAAAACCCCAGGCCCTCCATTTAATTGGCAGATGGAGTTGATAGGGCCGACAGGTTTTGAAGTGGGTTGAGCATTAACCTTTCAAAGGACTGAAGCGAGTTGAGCTGAAACTATGACCCCCCCCCCCCCCCCCCCCCCCCCCAGCAGGTCCTGCATGCCGAGGGCTGGGGGCTTTAACCACTCCCTGACTGCTCGCTCGTATTGCTTTGCTTTCCCAAGACAAAAGCACAGATTCAGGCTATAGTGGTCTCATTTATAACCCTTTCAATTTTTCCACTATCCCCATCACAAATTCATTCATCTGAAGTCATTTTCTTCAACAAATGATGGCAATTTTCAGTCCAACAGCAGCTAAAATCTATCGAGGCTTTCTCAGGTCATTAGTGGTGGTAAGATTAGTATTTGCTCTGAGAGAAGAGGAGGATGGCAGAGAAGAGACCTCAGTCTGGAGGTGGCCGTACAAGTAGAGCTGCTCACTTCTATTCTGGAGCTTTACAAGACTAGTCAGGTTTCTTGGATCTTTTGCTTCATTAAATGATCTTCCTGGTCTAGGCTGCAGCCATACGTAATAGTTGGATAGTATTCCTTGTGGCAATGCATCCATGGCAATGCATCCAATCTCCTGTGCAGAGGAAACTGGAAAACTTGAGTAGCAAATAAGTTCTCAAAGTTCACTATAATCCCTCAGTCACGAGAAGCTTCCTGTGCTTCTCAAGGCCAAGGACGCTGCTTTTTTATGCATCGCAGACACTTGGCTACACCAAATGTTTTCCAAGAGACCATTTAGCTGAAGCAAGTCACATGTTCAGGGCCGGATTCCGTGTTCATGTAAGGTCACAAGTTCAGCCTGTTTTAGTTGGATCCTCCTTTGGTGGACACTCTTAATGCTTTAATAATTTGGTTCTCTGTAGGTGCAGTTATAGAACTAAGAGGAGGAACCACACTTTGGTTTAATCATCCAGGTGAAGCTTCCCAGCTGAAAGAGAGACGGCAGGTACAGAAAATACCTCAGACACATCCCTGTAGACTTTTCTACTCATCAGTGTAAACGTTGGCTACTCAAATGCCCGATTCACACCGGGTATGGAATTAACGCAGTCCAAGTTCCGCACAGCTTTTGCAAAGACCAAAAAACGTTCGGTCCACTCGAAGCATTCTCGCCCGACGCGATGCTCCTGTAAGTTTCTGCATTGTTTATTTTTTTCCGAATGCCGCATGCAGATTTTCATTAAGTTAAAGGTGGAATATGGAACATTTTTATAAGAAACTATATTGAACAATACCTCCACAGGGTGTTTAATGGTGTGCAGAATGTACAGTTTCTCCTATAAAAGCTAGATTAAAAAAATTAGATAATCTAAGTTTTATTTTGACGGGCATGGCACTGGGTTTATGTTTACATCTTCCAGCCAATAGGGGGCACTGTTGCGGTAAAAAGTCCGCTTGGGAAAAGTGAGGCTGGGACTGTGTAAACCATTTGGACTCGTTAAGTCAGGCAGCTTATTCTGAGCCCAGATGACGTTGTAGCGGTAAATACTGTTGTAAAATAAACTTATTAGTAGAAATTGGTCTTTATCCTGCACGATTCCTCACTGGACATGCTCGCTGGTCACTTCATGTCCGTAGCGAACCAACACCCTGACGGCTGAATTTATTCTGTTGTTGCACTTCTTCCTCTAAACACAAGATGTCGCTATTGTGTCCGTGTTCCATATTCAACTTTTAATGAAATTAAATGGGCAAGACAGGAAGTGAGATGTGGTTCAGCAACGTGCATGCGTTATATTTCAGAATAAAACCCTTGTTGACTTATCTTTTTTTTATTATTGAGCTACCAGATCAGTGTATGGCATTTTTACATGTGTATCTTTTATACGTATTGTCGATTTTAATGCAGGAGCAAATTTACGGAGATGCCCGGAAGCTGTACGGAAACTTGGCCGCATCCATTCCGTAGTCGGCATGAATCAGGCGTTCCATTTCTAAACGGTCCCAATCAGGAAGCCTGTTGGCTAAATGCCTTTTAAGTGCAAATGTGACACCAGAAGCTCCTGAAGTGTGATTTCTGATTTTACTGCAACTTTATTGCATTTTTCATTTAATTTCATTGCATGGAAAATAATTGAACTTTTGCTTTTCAGAGTTAAAGCAAAAATACTCATTAAATCAGAATCAATTTAAAATAACTTTTTGCACTTTTTGACCACATGCATTTTAGTCTTTTTATAAATTAGATTGCAGAAGGGCATTATGACAAAATATGTAGCTTTATTACGATGTCATCACAGCAATGTTAAGCAGTATCGCAATTTTTCATTTAGCCTTTATACAGTTTTCTTTTAAGATGCACAATAAAGCTGGATATTTTCTACTTCTATTCCACAATAAATATTTAAATGTATTATTCATTTCTTCACTTTTTGATCCGTTTCCAGTGAAGCTAAATTTTAGTAACGGTCATGAAAAAAGTTGATCCTTAAGGAATAACCACTACAAGTCTTATTTCTAGGCTTTTTACTGGTAATTGCCTGTTACCTGTTACATTTTAATCCTTGATCAAAGAAGATTTCCAGGTAAATTGCTTTAAAATGAAGCAGATTTTTGTATAAAGGAGCCCTGCTCTAACCATCATGCTTTGTTTTTTGGATAAAGTTCTGATTGGTCGTTTAGGATAAAATGAATTTCTAGTGTTGTGTGTCTAAAAGTCGTTACCTTGATCTAGCATTTTATAGATCCAGCTGTACTTTGACAGCTCTGGTTTTATGTTTTTGAGAATGGCCCACACACTGCTGCAGCAGCGCTCTTCTAAAAAGTCATTCTCATTCGTTTTTAACTTCTCAATGAGAGTTTTGACACTTTCTCACAGACTCTGTCTTAAAGTGTGTTGGAACAGAAATGACTGTCATGATTTGGACGCTTCAATATTTTCTCAAAGGCTTTTATTTTCTCTGAATATTGCACAGATGCCCTGTAATCAAAGATTCTGGCTTAATGTGCAGAAAATACAAAGTAAAAATGTCCTCTTGGTAAAATGCGCGAACGACCTTGAACTGTTTTGACAATTTCCCCAAATCTTGTTGTTTTTTATTTAAACTTTACTGTTCTGCAAAAGTGTCAAGAATACAGAGTTTTATTTATAGTGTATACCAAAAGTGAGCCATCGTTTAATTCAAATCCTTCATAGAGACTTGTCACTCATTTCCTTTTTCCTGACAGATTTTTTTGAGTGGTTTCTCATTCTGTTCTCTGCAGAGAGGGCTGCTGTCTGCATTCTGGCCGTGTCTGACCGACTCGTCCAAATCGACAGAGAATGCGTCTGCGGCGATGCAGCAGGATTCAAGGTAAAGCACGCAGACACTTTCTGTAGCTCTCTGACCATTGCTGCACCAAGTCCAGCCTTAACAAAGCCTGCTAGTTGAACAGCGTTCATCAGGTATGTCGACCAAATCAGGGCCATAAATCAGGGCAGCATTTATGGGAGTGGAGGCATGTAAAACGCTGTTCTGTAGTGCTTCATGCTGAGTGGGAATCAAGTCCGATACAACCAGGGACTTGTCTCAAAATCACTTAAAAAAATTTTGAAAATAGCTTCTTTGAATTTGCATCTCTGTTTGGCTCGATCGACTTTGTTGTTGTTTCATCTGACCTGCGGCCGCATGTCTTGGACACTCGGGTGAAGAGAGGGGCGGAGCTGTCAACTGACCACTACCTGGTGGTGAGTTGGCTCAGATGGTGGGGGAGGATGCCGGTCAGACCAGGCAGGCCCAAACGTATCGCAAGGGTCTGCTGGGAACGTCTGGCAGAGTCTCCTGTCAGAAGGAGCTTCAATTCCCACCTCCGACAGAACTTCCAAAATGTTCCGGGGGAGGCGGGGGACACGAAGTCTGAATGGACCCTGTTCCGTGCCTCCATTGTTGAGGTGGCCGACCGGAGCTGTGGTCGCAGGATCGTCTGTGCCTGTCGTGCTGGCAACCCCCGAACCCGCTGGTGGACACCAGCGGTTAGGGATGCTGTCGAGCTGAAGGAGTCCTATCAGGTCTTTTTGGCCTGTGGGACTCCAGAGGCAGCTGACGGGTACCGGCAGTCCAAGCGGAACGCGGCTCGGGTGGTCGCCAAGGCAAAAACCCGGGCATGGGGTGGGTGGGAAAGCGGTGCGCTACCAACACTGTCTATAGTGGGGATGATGTGCTGCTGACCTCTACTCAGGACGTTGTGGATCGGTGGGTAGAATACTTCGAAGACCTCCTCAATCCCACCGACACGTCTTCCAGTGAGGAAGCAGAGTCTGGGGACTTTGAGGTTGGACTCAAGTCTCTGGTGCTGAGGTCACTGAGGTGGTTAAAAAGCTCCTCTGTGGCAAGGCTCCAGGGGCGGATGAGATCCGCCCAGAGATCCTTAAGGCTCTGGATGTTGTGGGGCTGTGTTGGCTGACGCGGCTCTGCAATATTGTGTGGACATCGAGGCAGTCCCACTGGACTGGCAGACCAGGGTGGTGGTCCCCTTATTTAAAAAGGGGGACCGCAGGGTGTGTTCCAACTACAGGGGGATCACACTCCTGAGCCTTCCTGGTAAGGTCTATTCAGGGTTCTGGAGAGGAGGGTCAGATTGTTGAACCTCAGATTCAGGAGGAGCAATGTGGTTTTTGTCCTGGCCGTGGAACACTGGACCACCTCTATACTCTCAGGGGTGCAGGGTATAATGTCAGGTTTAAGCACCTAAGACACCACATAACAGCACAACACAGGAAAGAGACCCAAAAGTCAGAATTCTGTTTAAGCTCGAGGAGAATGGAATAAAGTCACACCAACCCAGTCTCCACTGAGCTGATGCTTCCTGAAAACCATTCTGACCTCTGAAATCTGAGCACCTCTATTTATTACAAGTTGGGAGCTCCCTAGTTACATGCCTGAGAGCTGATCTAAAGGGAGGGGGGAAACGCAGCTCTCAGTCCTAGATTGTTGCAAGTTTAAAACAAAGAGCATTCATTATTACACAAGGAACTTTCAGTGTCTTATCACAAGATGAGTCAGCAATTGACAGAACAGCGGATCTTCTCAGGTCGTCCTTGGGTCACATTAAGTCAGATTTTAACACCCTTAAAAACTCATGAGGGAATTTTACAATACAGCAAATGTTTAAGTATAAATGATAAAATCATTGAGCATAAAACATGGTAAATGAAACAATCTTTAATTGTAATAAAAGCATAAAACATGATAATTGAAAACATGAATAATAGTTCTGACATATACATACTAGAATCACACTGTTTGCTATCAGTTGTGGATTCTGAGAATGACCAAGCAGATTAATATATGAAGCTTATATCAGGTATAAATATCCAGGATACTTAAAATCGATGTAAGTTCATACACCAACCTGTTTGGTCTATTTTTAATCCAAAGATTAATGTTCAATTTAAGATAATGTAATAGCAAAAGTTTATTTTTGAATCAGAAGTTAGGAATCTTTGCTTTTTCAATAACCAGAAATATTTATACCTTTCTGTGTTCCATTTCAAAGAAACGAAGCAAAGTTTAAAAATGGAGAATTAACTAACAATTTTAAACTTGACGATTTGAAACGACAATTCAAATGACAATTAAATTGTCATCCATGAATTGTTATTTTTAACAGCTTTGATATTAAACTTGTTTAAAAGGCAAACCTGTGACTGAAAAGCTAAATTGAAAATACGAGTTTGGATGCGTGAATGTTCTCAGGTTCCTTTCAGAGAAGCACGTTCTGGGTTGGAAATGATGGTTTTGCAGCTAACTGTTGTTACTTAGAGAAAACGGCATCAGACACAATCTGTGTGCTACCTCACCCAGCAAGACGACCCTTTGTGAGGATCCGGAGGTCGAGGGAGGATGGTGTCAGCCTCCAGGTACTCGATCCGGTAGAGGAGACTCGAGGAACCGACTCTCTGGTCCGAAGATGTTGCCGGATACAGTGTCGAGCGTCTGGCTTAACTCTGAAGGAGTTTCTCATCTTAACTCTCAAAATCAATAACTGGAAGAGTTTTTGTGTCAGCTGGTTACAGTTAAGTTTATTCGTAGCTATTCTCATCGGCGTGACAGAACAGCAGGTGGAGGTTAGGGATGGCCGTTCCCGTATCCTCAGTGATGGTGGTTGGTTCACGAACTGAAGTTTCTCTGCTGGAAAGTTAGTTTAACAAACCCCTCAGAACACGCCCTCTCGGAGCAAGAAAGCTTTGGTCATGAGTCAAAAAACATGTGATGGCAGTTACCCTGTACTCTGGATAAACTCTGTGTTAGATGGATAAGGTGGAAGCTGACCTTCTGATTTGCTGAACACACATTACTGATCATCAACCATAATCATAATTATACCCAAAGCATAATAATTCATTTCAGTAATTAAAAATACATTTATACTGAACCAAGTGATGATTTATGATGATTATAATAAACCTCAATCAAGTCAGTTTATTAAAATTATTTAAATTATTGTCGTGAACTTGAAGTGTCCTTCTTCTGGGACGGAACAGCAGCAGATAAAGGATGGTGTTCAGCAGACATCAGGACTCCTCGATTAATCTGTGGAACTAAAAGTTAGTCTGACTCAGCTGACCCAGCTGGGAAAATGTGACCTTTGTCACAAATTAGAGGCCCTTCATGACGCTACAGGGGGATCCTGGAGGGTGCGTGGGAATTTGCCCAACCAGTCTACATGTGTTTTGTGGATTTGGAGAAGGCGTTTGACCGCGTCCCTCGGGGGCCCTGTGGGGGTACTCCGGGAGTATAGGGTACCAGGCCCTCTGATACGGGCTGTTAGGTCCCTGTATGACCGGTGTCAGAGCTTGGTCCGCATTGCCGGCAGTAAGTCGGGCTCGTTCCCAGTGAGAGTTGGACTCCGCCAAGGCTGCCCTTTGTCACTGATTCTGTTAATAACCTTTATGGACAGGATTTCTAGGAGCAGCCAAGGTGTTGAGGGCATCCATTTTGGTGGCCTGAGGATCAGGTCTCTGCTTTTTGCAGATGATGTGGTCCTGTTGGCTTCATCAGAACGTGATCTTCAGCTTTTGCTGGAGCGGTTCGCAGGCGAGTGTGAAGCAGCTGGGATGAGAATCCGCTCCTCTAAATCGGAGACCATGCACATCCCCATCCCGTCAATTAGGAGTTCCAAAAATACTTTTTTCAGTATAACGACGTTACTGCAGGATTTAAAAATATGTAAAAAGTAAGAAACTTGTTGGTCTAAATGTTTTAGTATTTTTCTAACTGATCTGTTTCCAGACAAATTGAAGCCTTCTCTATTTTATTTATGCTCACAATAAGCTTGTGTACTTGGCTTCTTCATGCATTTTTATTTTATGCATTAATGCATCATGAAAACTTTATCTATTATTTCAGAGTAAATAGAAGTAAAAGTAAGACATGCTTATTCATTCCACTTTTGGTTTTTTAAACACAGGAAAGGTTTCTCTTTACCTTGCTGACGTTTCGTTTGCGGCTGCAAACTTCCTCAGAGCTGACGCTGATGGTGGCGTCACTTCCTTCGTTTATCCGCGGGCAGCAGAGGACGTTGTCGCCCTCTGCTGCCCGCTCTCTCCTCTCCGACGATGCAGTCCCATGCGTGGTCCAACGTGTAAACTCCATCGTCCCTGTTCATGGTCCCACATCCACGTCTCCTTATGTCTATAGCTTCTTTAATCCATCTTTTGTATTTCTGTTGTTCGGTGTTTATGATCCTTGTGTTGTCCCAGTTCATTATATGGTTTTCTCTTGTGCAGTGATCTGTTACGGCTGACTTCTTGTGATTTCTGCTTGTTTTGCTGCTCTTGTGTGTTTTTGACTTGCCTCTTTCTTGCACTCCTTTCTGTGTTCTATTGTTCGTGTGTTGAGTTGGCGTCCGGTTTCTCCTACGTATGTTGCAGAGTTTGCATGGGATTTCGTAAACGACTCCACATTTAAGTCCAGCTGGTATCTTGTCTTTTGGGTCCACTCTTGGATCGTGCATGGGACTGCATCATCGGAGAGGGGAGAGCGGGCAGCAGAGAGCGACAACGTCCTCTGCTGCCCGCGGATAAACTGAGTAGGAAGTGATGCCACCATCAGCGTCAGCTCTGAGGAAGTTTGCAGCCGCAAACGAAACAGTCAGCAAGGTAAAGAGAAAACGGTTCCATTTAAAAAAAGAACCAAAAATGGAATTAGAAGACAAACAGCAAGAACGTACAAAAGATGCTTATTCATTTATCTCTATTATAAAATCCTGTAGGTCTCTTTTCTAATTTAAAAATCAAAAGTTGTTTGCTGCAGTTCATCTTTTTTTTTTCACATTTATCCAAAGTCTGAAGGCACATTTTTACTCCCCGCCA